GGAGCAAAGTCCCTACCAATAGATGCAGGTAGGCCAGCTTGAGAGGCAGAGGAAAGATCAGGTACCAGCTGGGAAATGTCCTCCAAGTTTACAACCCTTGGGAGAGGTCTCATCCCGCTTCTCCCTCCTCCTACCTCCAGGCTTCTGGACCTGTTCCTCCCCATCTAGGGCTGAGGACTACGCTTCTGGCCCCTGTGCTCACCTCATAACTGGTGCCGGGATGACAGGCAGCTGGGGGTGGGCGGTCCAGACTCTACCAACGACAGGCAGTGACATATCCCTGGCCTCTCTGAGCACATACCCCTAGAAACAGTATTCCATTCTGTGGCTCAGTTCTTTTACAGTCTTATTACATTATTCTACTTCAGCTAGACTGTAGGTGTGATTATTTTTTTCTAGCTGGTCTGGGAGCCCAAACCTCAATGGATAACCTGATTTCTAAAGGAAAATACATTCTAGGTTGCAAACAATCAACCCACAAGATTTTGGACTCTGATCTCCTTCCACATTGGGGACTGCCTGTGCCTATATGAGAAGACTTACTTCCAGCACACGTTTCACTACCCCCAATTTCAATAAGTAGAACTAAGTAAATTAGGGATTTACAGTATTCTCTGTTATAATAACTGGAGAACAGTTCTAAACCCAAAGAATGCACTGGCATAGTTCCCTAGTGTAGAGATCCTATCTACCACAGGAAAAGGTGCAGCTTCCCATGGCTAAGGTTTAGTACGCTTTAGTCTACTAATTTAGCAGAAAAACATCTATAGCACTTGACTGTGCTGTTTAAATTCTACCTAACATCTATGATACATGTACTTTTTGGCTACCAATTCATTATCCTGAACAAGAGTAAGAGCGGTACACTTTACAGCGACTCCCACACAAATCATGTAATCAGTGACATTTGACAAGTTACAGTAAAGTAAGGTCTATTATATTCAGCCAACAGCAAACTCTGATAAACATACAAAGAAGGGCTTAAAAACCTGTGGTCTCACAGACATCAACAACAATGTGCTCCCTCTAAATAAATATATTTTAAATAATAAACTTCTGGTACTGACACACAAAATTCAGAGATCCAAAAATATCACTACACATCCCAGAGTTAATGATAATTTTCTGAATTCACTTTGTGAATATAAAGTGAACTATTCTAAAGCAATGAGAAAAACAGAAAGGAGCACAGTATAGCTTGCAAACCATGTATTTTTTAAATGTAGGGTTGTCCTACTACCCGAAAATTTCATTACTTGGTGCTCCAGAAAAGCTCCAAAGGGCAGCTGAATCCTGTTTTGCTATTTCTGTCATTGCTCCTGGAACCACTTCTGAAAAGGACAGAGACAGCTGTGGGTCCTACTCAGTTAGGATTCGTACCTAAGTCAGGTGTTCCTATCTAATGGCCTGAACTTTGACCTAATGTGGATCTAATTCTTAGCATTACATGAGAAGCTATGTTGAGCCAAGGCAGGAAATAATCTCTCATTCTCCAAGAGGGTCACGGCATCCTTCGATGTCTGTCTCATCCATGGGACATTAGTCTGTAAAGGGAGGGACAGTTCTGTGTGTCTCAGTGAGAGTGGTGGCCTTTGGGGATGAGTCAGGTACAGAATCCAGAGCAAAGTGCCAGGACGTGCTGCCAACCGTCTGCAGTTAGGCTCCAGGTATTCCGGATATCTCAGTGAACTCGTGAGTCTGGAGAATTCAACCAGAATACATATAGATGAAACATAGCCCTGTTTCAAAAGAATAACTCACAGAATAGGCACACAGCTTACCACACATAGGATTCGGATAATCCGGTGATAGGAGAGGCCCACTTGGGCAGGTGAGGCTCTGGTTTCCTTGGAGTTCCCTGTCCTTTCCCAGCTGCCTGGTCCCAAGCTCTCACCCTGTCATGCTCTTTCCCTTTGGATGGACTGGGGTAAGAGTAAAGGGTGGCTGCCCTCCTGTGGGTCACGCTGAGACGGGCAGTAACGGGAAGAGATAGCCTAGTCACTGAGGCCCTCTTGCCTTCCCCATCTGGGAAGAAAGGGACACAGTGATTTCAGCAGATGTTGTTTAAAATGACCATCTCTGAGAGGTTATTTGCAAGACTAGATGGAGAGTTAATGGAGAATGAACAGAAATGAGGCTTATTTAAGGTACAAAAATCTTGTATTTATAATAACCAAATCTATAGATATAAAACAAGTCTTAAAGACTCCCCTAAAATACCCATATAAAACAGGAATTGCTTATCCTAAATCATCCTTAGGTACACATTATTCTCCGTTGCTAAAAGCTGGCAGGCAGGACTAAGTGCTGCTGGGCTTCTAATTCACTAATCATATTCTCCCCCCTTCAACAGTATAGGTGTAGGCAATAGCATCCAAAAAACTGAAATACCTAGGAATCA